TTCAGATTGGGACTCAACATATAATTCTAATTATAATCTGGTACAGTCAAAGTCTGGGAGACGTCAAGATGTTTCTAGATATCCTTATCACAGAGGATATTTGTGGGCCACGGAGATTGGATATCCTAAGTTACATGCTGACATAGCAGCAGGAGGGTTTGGAGGTGTTGGTATTTCTGGTATCAAACTGTATGCACGAGCAAAGTTTGATCTTGTGGTCTGGAAAAGAACTTACACTGCACTTGACATAATGTTCTCATACGTGAGAGACTTCCCAGACCAAAACTCTGTCAGCACTTTGAAATACAAGCATTTCATTAAGATAGTTGGTTACACACTCTTGAATAACGAACATTCCACTGCAGAGGCGTACAAGTACACTCGCTCATGGCAAAGGGCAGTTACTCTTTTCAGAGTAAATTTTAGATTCTTTATTATTTTAACAACTCTGGATATCACTTTCAGTGGCCATTTATCTGGACAAATGAAGTTCAATGCATTCATTGCACGTTTTGATAATAATGTTAATATGAAGGCATCAGCAATGCTTGAGACAGGACCTACTCTAACTGTTAGAGGAGAGGCTTCTATTAGATTCTTTGTAAGAGTCAAAAATAAGAGTGAGAGAAAGAAATTATATTTCTTCATCTTTTTTTGATAGGGAAAATTAGGCATGGAAGTCTCAGCCTCCATAACCTATCTCATTGACCCAAAAGCTTCAACCACACTCTGTGGCTCATCATCACAGGATGCTAGTACATGCTTTGAAGTATATGGTACAACTAAAGGAAATATTGCTGTTGAGGCATACAGGCAGTCTAGGAAAAAGTCTTGTAAACAGTGGTTTAAGTGCAAGGTGATATTATTAACAGTATCTATAATTAGTGGCAAAATTATTTTCTTTTTTCTTTCTCTCTCTCATTCATTCACTCTTGTTACAAATATATAGAAGTCTTGGGGAAGAAAGAAGATATATCATAAACTATCACGTACTTGGAGCCTTGTAAATAGAAGAAAGAAATTGTTTGGGCTGTGTTATACTTGTAATTGTTACGGAAGGCATTTCCTCAATGTCCTTTGCAAGGGTAGCCAGTATGGAGCCTCACGATGTTCCTGTTCAATAAAAAGCTCAAAATGATAATTATTTTTCAATCATCATTGAAAACTGATGTCATCATTTTTAATGGACTCCTCTTTTTTTTGTAGTTGAGTTTAATTAAGCTTTTTATTAGTGTAGCATAGTTATAAGCTTTTTCATTTTTTTGAGTGAACAATGAATCACAAAGATATTCAAAAAATAATTTTGTTGGTCACCATGATGTACACACATCACACAGTGAGATTGCTTAGAAACTTGTAAACAGTATCTAAGAGTATCAAAATAAATATGTGGTTGCTTTTTTAGAGGTGCTTTCAAGATAGCTTTAAAGAAGAACCATGCACTCACTTCAATGGAGTGAAACCACAATAACATAAAAAACTAATTATGAACACAGTACTTGAAAGCATGCAATTCCATTGAATTTATGCTTAAAAATCATGACAGTTATTTGAATCAATAGATCTAGTAGATGTATCAAAATTGCAATTAAAGTGCATTGCAGGAGTTTACTAGGGAGCCTGGGAGAGCCTGCAGTGGGGAGGTTTGCTATGAGAACCCATGCAGAGAGTTTTTGTGCCTCTAATGAAGCAATCTGATTGGTTTTTGAATAAATAGTATACTGTTGCTATGTAAGTACATGATGCATTGTAACATTCTCTAATTCTCTTACCTTGATAATAAAATTGAATAAAAAAGCCAAAGCGGGATTAGCTAGATACTTTCATTGTTTTTGAACAATATCAACACTAGCATACCCTGAGCTAGTCTTAAATAAAAACACTGAAACTGAACTTAGCTATAAATTTTTAATTATATAGATATTAACTTAAGAAAACTGGGAAGCAACAAACAGTAGACTAGCTAGGCTGGTATACATATGAGTGTGAGTGCCTAAGCTGTGCCACAAGACCAGGCAGTTTGTTAGCATTAACATGAAAGGCTTTGTGTTACTAGCTCTTGCTCTCTCATTCTTCTTATCCTGTGGAG